TACACACATACATACACATACCTGGAGGCACATGTGGGCCCAGAAACATGGAGGGCTAAGATGATGGAGGTGGTACTGGAAAACCTCATGTACCAACACGTTAAGGACACTACCAGAATGAGAGAGAGAGGGAGAGAGAGAGAGAGAGAGAGAGAGAGAGGAGAGGATGAACCTGCGAGATTAGGCCTAATATTCACTTTGGGTAGAGCAGATATTGAGGACATCACATATGAAAGACCCCTCAGGGTTTTTGATCACGTGGTTCTGAGCTTCTGTTACATAGTAGAGTTACAAGTGGAGAGGGAAGCAGGAAGGGCAGGATGAATGAAGACATTCTACAAGAGAACGGACTATACAATCAGAAATATTTCCTGTACGGGGTCTAATGTAATAGAAGGCTGGAAGAGATGTCAGTCAGCAAGATAATAGAATATGTGACAAAAATATAAGAGGAAACTGAGGAGAGGTTTGTTCCCATGGGTAACAGATGTAACGAGAAGGCCATAGGTGTAGAGAGGTCAAAACGAAGTGCACTAGAGGATGGAAGAAGTACAGAAGACAAAGAACCCAGGTGATTAAGAAGAGCAGTCATAGAGCCAGAAACGAATATGCACAGGAAAGAAGGGAGGCCCAACGGTGATACGAAAATCACATAGCAGCGAAAGCTAAATCTGAACCGAAACAGTTGTAGAGCCACATCAGGAGGGAAACGACAGTCAAGGACCAGGTAATCAGGTTGAGGAAGGAAGGAGGGGAGATCACAAGAAACGACCATGAAGTATGTGAGAAGCTCAACATGAGATTCAAAGAAGTGTTCACAGAGGAGACGGAAGAGATCCCAGAAAGAAGAAAAGATGTGGGGTACACCTTCAGGTGTTGGACACAGTCCATACAACCGAGGAAGAAGTGAATAGGCTCCTAAGTGAGCCAGATACCTCAAAGGCAATGAGGCCGGATGACATCGCTCCGTGGGTTCTGAGTGAGGGAGCAGAGGCGCTATGTGTACCACTAATAACAATTTTCAACACATCTATCGAAACAGGGCAACTACCTGAGGTATGGAAGACAGCAAATGTAATCCCAATTTTTGAAAAAGCAAACAGACACGAAACACTAAACTACAGATCAGTATCACTGACATGTGTAGTATGTAAAGTCTTGGAGAAGATCATCAGGAGAAGAATGGTGGAGCACCTAGTAAGAAATGAGCTTATCAGTGACAGCCAGCATGGTTTCAGGAACGGGAAATCCTGTGTCACAAACCTGCTGGACTTCTATGACAGAGTGACAACAGTAAGACAGGTGAGAGAGGGGTTGGTAGATTGCATTTTCTTGTACTGTATGAAGGCGTTAGATACAGTTCCATGCAAGAGAATAGCGCAAAAGCTGGAGGACCAGGCAGGGATAACAGGGAAGACACTGCAATGGATCATGGAATGCCTGTCAGGAAGACAACAGCGAGCCATGGTGTGTGGCGGGACGTCAGAGTGGGCGCCTGTGACGAGTGGGGTTCCACAGGAGTCTGTTCTAGGACCAGTGCTGTTTCTGGTATTTGTGAACGACATGACGGAAGGAATAGAATCTCAAGTGTCCCTGTTTGCAGATGATGTAAAGTTGATGCGATGAATTCAATCGGACGAGGACCAGGCAGAACTACAAAGGGATCTGAAGAGGCTGTACCCCCACCACACACCTGGCTGCAGGTGTTACTTCCTCTCTCCTACCTCCACCACACACCTGGTTGCGAGTGTTAGTTCCTCTCTCCTACCTCCACCACACACCTGGCTGCAAGTGTTACTTCCTCTCTCCTACCTCCACCACACACCTGGCTGCAAGTGTTACTTCCTCTCTCCTACCTCCACCACACACCTGGTTGCGAGTGTTAGTTCCTCTCTCCTACCTCCACCACACACCTGGTTGCTAGTGTTAGTTCCTCTCTCCTACCTCCACCACACACCTGGTTGCTAGTGTTAGTTCCTCTCTCCTACCTCCACCACACACCTGGTTGCTAGTGTTACTTCCTCTCTCCTACCTCCACCACACACCTGGTTGCTAGTGTTAGTTCCTCTCTCCTACCCCCACCACACACCTGGCTCCAAGTGTTACTTCCTCTCTCCTACCTCCACCACACACCTGGTTGCTAGTGTTAGTTCCTCTCTCCTACCTCCACCACACACCTGGTTGCTAGTGTTAGTTCCTCTCTCCTACCTCCACCACACACCTGGCTGCAAGTGTTACTTCCTCCTACCTCCACCACACACCTGGCTGCAAGTGTTACTTCCTCTCTCCTACCTCCACCACACACCTGGTTGCGAGTGTTAGTTCCTCTCTCCTACCTCCACCACACACCTGGTTGCTAGTGTTAGTTCCTCTCTCCTACCTCCACCACACACCTGGTTGCGAGTGTTACTTCCTCTCTCCTACCTCCACCACACACCTGGTTGCGAGTGTTAGTTCCTCTCTCCTACCTCCACCACACACCTGGTTGCTAGTGTTAGTTCCTCTCTCCTACCTCCACCACACACCTGGTTGCGAGTGTTAGTTCCTCTCTCCTACCTCCACCACACACCTGGTTGCAAGTGTTACTTCCTCTCTCCTACCTCCACCACACACCTGGCTGCAAGTGTTACTTCCTCCTACCTCCACCACACACCTGGTTGCAAGTGTTACTTCCTCTCTCCTACCTCCACCACACACCTGGTTGCAAGTGTTACTTCCTCTCTCCTACCTCCACCACACACCTGGTTGCAAGTGTTACTTCCTCTCTCCTACCTCCACCACACACCTGGTTGCAAGTGTTTACTTCCTCTCTCCTACCTCCACCACACACCTGGTTGCTAGTGTTACTTCCTCTCTCCTACCTCCACCACACACCTGGTTGCTAGTGTTACTTCCTCTCTCCTACCTCCACCACACACCTGGCTGCAAGTGTTACTTCCTCTCTCCTACCTCCACCACACACCTGGTTGCAAGTGTTACTTCCTCTCTCCTACCTCCACCACACACCTGGTTGCGAGTGTTAGTTCCTCTCTCCTACCTCCACCACACACCTGGTTGCTAGTGTTAGTTCCTCTCTCCTACCCCCACCACACACCTGGCTGCAAGTGTTACTTCCTCTCTCCTACCTCCACCACACACCTGGTTGCGAGTGTTAGTTCCTCTCTCCTACCTCCACCACACACCTGGTTGCTAGTGTTAGTTCCTCTCTCCTACCTCCACCACACACCTGGTTGCTAGTGTTAGTTCCTCTCTCCTACCTCCACCACACACCTGGTTGCGAGTGTTAGTTCCTCTCTCCTACCTCCACCACACACCTGGTTGCTAGTGTTAGTTCCTCTCTCCTACCCCCACCACACACCTGGCTGCAAGTGTTACTTCCTCTCTCCTACCTCCACCACACACCTGGTTGCGAGTGTTAGTTCCTCTCTCCTACCTCCACCACACACCTGGTTGCTAGTGTTAGTTCCTCTCTCCTACCTCCACCACACACCTGGTTGCGAGTGTTTATTTAAGGAATGATTTGTTTAATATTGCATAAATCCTATTCAAATTTATCAGTTCTTATTCACATTTGTCTAACCAGTTTTAAAGCTTTCTAAGGAACTAGAAACAATGATCTTAATAATTTATTCTAGGAGGTGGTTAACGTGGGTTATTGTTCCATACTGGTGAATTGGCATCTTAACTACTTGTTAACCAGGTGTCTGGTCATAACACAAACTGAAAGTGAAAAATCGTCTGTCGTGCCAACCTGTCAATCATGAGGGATCGAAGGTCAAACATTGTGTCCCTGTAATGTCTGTAACTGCTTCACATAGCTCCTGGAGAGCGAAACGTTACCACAATAAAAAAATCATATTAGTTACATCTGACTCCATTTACATAACATCAAAATCATGCTTCACTTAAGCAGATGTGACTGATGTGTGATAGTAACACTTCACTTACAACTGATTTACATTTCGCTTACAATATATTCGGTCACCTTTTCAAATAATTTTTATAACATTGGTTATGATATCCGAAAGATAATTAATTCATATTTCGAATAATAAATTTATTTCTATATAGATACAGAGAACGCACCAACAATTAATTCTGTCAACCAATCATGGTCGTCATTACAAGCTGTGTTAACTAATTCATGAAAACAGACTTTTCTCCTCTGTTTACTACGTCTGAGTTGCCATGTATTATTTCTGACCAGGAGAAAGTGTCCAGGAATTTTTTTCCGCAACTGTACATTCTGTTTGTGGGCATTAATTTAAGGCAGACTAACTATTCCTGCTGCTAAATGTGACTAGAAGTTAGAGAAACACATGTATTGATATGTGTTTTCTTGAGAAATAGCTGATTAAAAATAACAGCTTGGGAAACAACTTAAAGCTGAAACCTTAACAGATTTTCACCAAATGTTATTTCACGTATTAAGATTTGTGTGTAATGTCTTAACACAACTATAAATATTCTATGTTAAAGGATCATTTACAATATTTAACAATTGTGACAAATTACCATAAACCTTTCAGTTATTATTTACTTAGTAGTGAGAAAAGGTTTGATTTTGTTTGTTAGTATTATGATTATTTTGTTCTCCGAGCAGAAATTTTGTGGCATTTTGTAAGCTATATTTTGTAGGAAAAATAACAGTGACCATGTGACCGGGAAGAAAGCCACCTTTAACTAACTCAGCTGTAATAAACATGACATCAGATTGAGGCCAAACACTAGTGTCAACCTCACTGGTTAAATTTCCTGAAACAAACGGAGAAATTTCACTTCCTTTCAAATCTTCTACTACTAAATAAATGCTCAGGTGGTGGCAGCATATATTGTTACTTGACAGAATTAACCTCTTTCATCTTTCTGTTCTCTCGAGGATTTTTTTCCCCGTTTTTCTTTTCTGCGTTTTCTCGTTTATCCTTATTTGAGTATGGTGAGTATGGCAGTATATGGTGCTCTATCAACTCTATCTATCTCACTCTCTGCTCTCTTCACAGGGCCGTGCGTGGCGGGAGTGGTTGGTCTTACTATGCCTCGATACTGTCTTTTTGGTGACACTGTTAATACGGCCTCTAGAATGGAGTCAACGGGTGAGGAACTCAGGATACACATCTCCAATGCCCACAAGCTTATGCTGGACAAGTTGGGCGGCTACATTGTGCAACAGAGAGGCCTCACTTACGTCAAGGTCAGTGTGTCTTGTATTAGTTGGTGTGTATCTTACCTTAAGAATTCTGTGGACATTTTAATATATTTCCTGTTTTACCATCTCCAACTTATGCTGTGTTGTAGCACATCGTCGTATTCTTTCTTTCCGTGAAAATGCTTATTTAATCATTCCTCTTTTAGTTGTTAAAGTTCTGTTACTCTAACTGTAACAAGACTTTAGTCCCTGAAACCATGTTGTTTTTCAATTAGAGCTTCTTATTAAGGTGATCCAAAACCAACCTAATAATCTCTCCCCTTTCACAAAATAAGAAAACCTACCAATTGTTTGGATCCATCTGCCTGTCCACTCCTCGATGTTAACCGCTTTACAGCTTTCTCGTAAACGTTCTGTTTCCAATGACTTTTCATAAACACTTTTAAGCGAACTTCATAGTTACTCTCTCTTCTAGCGAACTTTATGTTCGGTTTTCTTCTTCATCACCACCACCTCTCTTGTTATCGTCCTTTCCTCTCCTCTTAATTTTCACAGAAATGTTTATATCTGTTATTTATTTCCCTTCATTGTCGTCTTTTTTATGTGAGTTTTTTATCTTCCTACTTAATTCTTATCACGTAATTCCTTATATTTAATTCATTCCTAACGTGGCCATGGAGCGCATTAAGACACAACTCTGAAGATATATTTATTCTGTTCTAGCAATCTGATTACCATCTAACTCTTGCATATTAATTACTCGTCAATTTCATCTGCGTTTTTATCACTTAATGCGAAGCCTTGAAGAGCCTCGAAGACTTGTCTTCTTCACTCAGTCTTGTTGCATTTTTCATGTCTTGACTTATACAGATTTTCACCAATATCTCGTTAATAAGTAGGTCACTGTTTTTCAGTCATTTTTTTCAGCTTTTATGTATTTCCTTTGCCGCAAGAATTATGAAGTTTAAAGTGGCTTGGTGTTCTCCTCTTACTTGTGTGTTTGTCTCCTGCAGCTGGATGCCATGTTACAGACAACTACTATAATAACCACAAAATTCCAATGCAAGGGTAAGGAGGAGTATTTGGAGAGATGTAAAAAGTGAGCAAATGAAAGAGTGGGTGAGATGTTATCAACAAATTTTGTTGAAAATAAGAAAAAGCTTTGGAGTGAGATTAATAAGTTGGGAAAGCCTAGGGAACGAATGGATTTGTTAGTTAAAAATAGGAGAGAAGAGTTATTAAACGGAGAGTTAGAGGTATCGGGAAGATGGAGGGAATATTTTGAGGAATTGTTAAGTGTTGATGAAGATAGGAAAGCTGTGATTTCTTGTATAGGGCAAGGAGGAATAACATCTCATAGGAGTGAGGAAGAATCAGTTGTGAGTGTGGGGGAAGTGCGTGAGGTAGTCGATAGAATGAAAGGTGGTAAGGCAGCTGGGATTCATGGGATCAAGATAGAAATGTTAAAAGCAGGTGGGGATATAGTTTTGGAGTGGTTAATGTTTTTATTTAATAAATGTATGAAAGAGGGTAACGTACCTAGGGATTGGTAGAGAGCATGTAGAGTTCCTTCGTATAAAGGCAAAGAGGACAAAAGAGAGCATAAAATTATAAAGGAATAAGTCTGTTGAGTATACCTGGTAAAGTGTATGGTAGAGTTATTATTGAAAGAATTAAGAGTAAGACGGAGAGTAGGATAGCAGATGAACAAGGAGGCTTTAGGAAAGTTAGGGGGTGTGTAGACCAAGTGTTTTCAGTGAAACATATAGATGAACAGTATTTAGATAAGGCTAAAGAGTTTTTTTGGCATTTATGGATTTGGAAAATTAATATGATTGGGTGGATAGGGGGGCAATGTGGCAGATGTTGCAAATGTATGGAATGTGAGGTAGGTTACTGAGAGCGGTGAAGAGTCTTTACAAGGATAGTGAGGCTCAGGTTAGAGTATGTAGGAGAGAGGGAGATTATTTCCCAGTAAATGTAGGCCTTAGACAAGATGTGTGATGTCACCGTGGTTGTTCAACATAATTATAGATGGAAATGTAAGAGAAGTGAATGCTCTAAGGAGTTTGTGGAGACAAAGAACTTTATCCATGAAAGCAAAGAGGAGAATGTATGAGAGTATAGTTATACCAACGCTCTTGTATGGGTTTGAGGCATGGGTTGTGAATGTTGCAACAAGGAGAAGGCTGGAGGCAGTGGAGATGTCATGTCTGAGGGCGACGTGTGGTGTGAATATAATGCAGAGAATCCGTGGTTTGGAGATTAGGAGGAGGTGTGAGATTACCAAAACTTTTATTCATGGGGCTGAGGTTACCTGGAGGTTACCTGGTTACCTGGAGGTTATTCCGGGGATCAACGCCCCCGCGGCCCGGTCCATGACCAGGCCTCCCGATGGATCAGGGCATGATCAACTAGGCTGTTACTGCTGGCCGCAAGCAGTCCAACGTACGAGCAACATCCTGGCTGATCCGGCACTGACTTTAGGTATCTGTCCAGCTCTCTCTTGAAGGCAGCCAGGGGTTTATTGGCAATTCCCCTAATGCTTGATGGGAGGCTGTTGAACAGTCTTGGGCCCCGGACACTTATGGTGTTTTCCCTTAGTGTACCAATGGCGCCCCTACTTTTTATTGGGGGCGTTTTGCATCGCCTGCCCAGTCTTTACTTTCGTAGGAGTGATTTCTGTGTGCAGATTCGGGACCATTCCTTCCAAGATTTTCCAAATGTAGATTATGATATATCTCTCCTTCCTGCGTTCCAACGAGTACAAGTCAAGTGCTTCCAAGCGTTCCCAGTAGTTAAAGTGCTTGACAGAACTTATACGTGCAGTAAAGGATCTCTGTACACCTCTAGATCTACAATTCACCTGCTTTGAATGGAGATGTTAATGTACAGCAGTATTCCAGCCTAGAGAGAACAAGTGATTTGAAAAGGATCATCATTGGCTTGGCATCTCTCGTTTTGAAAGTTCTCATTATCCATCCTATCATTTTCTTTGCACGTGCGATCGTGGCACTGTTGTGATCCTTGAAAGTGAGATCCTCAGACATTACTACTCCCAGGTCCCTTACATTATTTTTCCGCTCTATTGTATGGCCAGAGTCTGTAGTATACTCTGTTCTAGTTATTATCTCCTCCAGTTTTCCATAACGGAGTAGTTGGAATTTGTCCTCATTGAACATCATATTGTTTACCGTTGGCCACTGGAAAACTTTGTTTATATCTTCTTGGAGGTTAACCGCGTCCTCAGCAGATGACAGCCTCATGCAGATCCTAGTATCACTCCGCAAAGGATGATACGGTGCTGTGATGTATATCTCTGTCTATGTCTGATATGAGGATAAGGAATAAGATGGGCGAGTACTGTGCCTGTGGAACAGAGCTCTTCACTATGGCAGCCTCCGATTTAACTTTGTTGACCACTACCTTTGTGTTCGATTTGTTAGGAAGTTGAAGATCCATCTCTCCACTTTCCCAGTTTTCCTTAGCACGTATTTTATGAGCTATTACACCATGATCGCATTTGTCAAATGCGGGGTTATTGAGATGCTTTGGGCATGTAGAAGGTTGGAACGAAATAGAATGACTTTGAGAGTGTATAAATCTGTAGTGGAGGGAAGGCGGGGTAGGGGTCGGCCTAGGAAAGGTTGGAGGAAGGGGGTAAAGGAGGTTTTGTGTGCGGGGGGGCTTGGACTTCCAGCAAGGGTGCATGAGCATGTGAGATAGGAGCAAATGGAGACAAATGGTTTCTGGGAATTGATGTGCTATTGAAGTGTAAGCAAGGTATCATTTATGAAGGAATTCAGGGAAACCGGCAGGCCGGACTTGAGTCCTGGAGATGGGAAGTACAGTGTCTGCACTCCTAAGGAGGGGTGTTAGTGTTGCAATTTTAAAACTGTATCGTAGGCATGTCTCTGGCAAGAGAGTGATGGAGTAAATGATGGTGAAAGTTTTTCTTGTTTGGGCCACCCTGCCTTGGTGGGAAACGGCAAATGGGGCACAAGAATGCTTGCAGACTATTGCTGGACATTGGCAAGAGATGATTCTTCAGCCCACTATAAGCGTCAAGCAAAAAGGCAGAGAGTAGGTAAGGATTAGAGTTTAAAACATACTGAAGCATACTGAACGTTATAATAAAATAATCAAATATTACATATCTCGTATCTTTAAACCTATAGCCAATAATCATTTTTCAAGGTGATATTTGGATTCAGGACATGAAAAATACATAAGAATTAACTAATCTCATTTAAGAAGCATACAAGTTTTTAAAAATTGTTGACCAGTGTCATGTAGATGGAGAGAGCAGATGAGGGTACTGGGTACACCAAGCATTCTCACAAAAGGATGCTGGACGTACTCAAGCATCCTTGGGTACACACAAGGTGAATTGCTTAGATTTAAATGTGGCGAGCAAGAAGTAATGGGTAGTTAAAGTACCATGGGTTCCATAGATGGATTTTGAGATGTGAGGTACTATTGCACGGAGGCAAGAGAGTTAAGAGAGGATTTCCCATTGCAATGGGAAATCCTCTCTGACCTGTTCTTAGTAATTTGATATGGAATATTTTGAGACAAGATTATTTAACAAAATCTTTCCCAGTATAGGTAAGTGGTATAGATAAGTTGATGATATTTTATGTCTTAATCTTAAGAATATAGACATAAATAATTTCCTTGCTGAATTAAATAATCTAGCTCATTCCATAAAATTTACTATTGATCTGTACTTAGCTCTGTGACGACGTGTCTAATGTACTGTCTGTGAATCTGAACCAAGATGTCGTCCATTGAACAACTTTACCAACAGCTTAAGGAGGAGCTTAGGGTGGCTAAGCTAGAGATACAGCGATTGATGGAGGAAAACAAGAGGATTCGTAGTAATTCTCCTGTTATGAATCCTCATGTCATGGAAGGAACCTGGACAGTTGCCGGACATAATGGAGCCATCAAGAGGACAGATAGAGAAATAGAAACGACGAAGAACCAGGAGGCTACTGTAAAAACTTCGAACCCATTCTCCGTGCTACCCGACGAATATGAGG